TCACTGATGGTCTCAGAATATAATCCAGTGGAAAGTGTTTGCGTGAAACTTTTGTTTTCCACCGCGCTACTAGTGTAAGTCTTAACTTTCTCCTGTTTCTTTCTTGGGGAATTTTTCACATCCTTGGAAGTTCGAGGTGTCTTCCTGGAGGCAATTGGCACACCTTGGGGGTCTCTCTTTGTTTTTATTGGGGCATTGAAAGGAAAAATGCTCCTCAGCACACCTAACACATTTGGGTGTAAAGAAACAGCTCGCTTGGCTGTGGTCGAAACCCTGGCAACAGTAACATTGCAGGGGACCCACCCTACCCTTATAATCTTCAATTTTAACTCTTAACTCACAGAGGTTAGTGATTCCATGTATTTCTTTAGATTTATCCTTTCTGGGTAATGGGTAATGAAACAAGGAAAAGTGGCAGTTTAATCACCTCTCCATTTCCCCTACTAGTAATTTGTTTGACAGAACTGACTGTAAAATTTTTGGCAGTTAATTCCTCACAAATTTCATTTATTTCGGTGTCATGAAGCAGCCCTCTGATGACCACCTTAAGATCCCTATCTTGTGGTAAAATAAATGAATGATGTTCTATGTTGGCAGCCTTAAGCAACCTAACATAGACTCTATAATCGTCATCATTTTTAGTAACAATTTTAATACCCTTAGGAGTTTTGTGGCTATTGACTACAATATTGCGTTCATCAAAGTTTTCCTAATATTATTCCAAACTTTATTAGTGACCTTAATGGTAATAGGCGGAATTTTATATTTTCTGACAAAAATTGTGTCAGTCATTTCATTTCAGCCTGATTTTGTGGTTTATTTTTAGTTTGTAATTTTTCATTTTCTAAAGGAGTGGTATCCATTTTGTCATTTTCGTTTATTTCATTTTCAGCAATTGGAGCTGACCCCTGATTGTGTGTGTTAAGCCTTGTTTCCACTACTGCGTACGAACGCGTTGCATCAATTGAAGACACGCCTATGGCATCCGTACAAGCGTTTCCACTGCCGCATATCCGTAGAATATTTTCATTTTCCGCCGCTAGGTGTCACTGTAATATTTTGGCGGCAAACAAGCAGTTCGCGAGTTACGACGCTGAACATCTGAATTTTTCCCGCTTAAGCGAGTATTGTTTGTTTTGGATTTTATATGGATCCTGACGTAAAACGCAGAAAAGTTTTGTTTACTAAATTCTATGTTATTGGAATTTTTTATTTCTGCTTGTGAACTGCGAAATTAAAGTACGCTAGCAATTTTTAGATAAGTAAGATTATAAAGCATATTATAAACATCACTAATTCCATAGAAGCTGAAGTAAATTAAAAAAAAAAAAAATTTGCGTTTCTAGAAGCCTTAAATATTAATGAAATAATATATATATTATTAAAACTAAAATGTATACTTAGTGAAAAAATAAACAAATAAATAAATAAAATAAAAAAGTTAAAGGAATTAAAAAATAGTTGGTACTTTAAAAATACAGAGCAACTGTAAAAAAAGTTTCACAATATTTACACAAAATTTGCTATGCTTGTATACCGCTGACTTCAGGGTCATAGCCAGATAATTTATTAGAAATCTCGTTTGTTTTAAAATGCACTATGGGCAGTTATATTTTATGCATAATCCATAAAACATTATTTTTAATTTAAACATTTTTAATTCATATCTCTTTTTATAGAAGAAGTTACAAAAATAAGATTTTTCTCTTTATATATACACACATTAGGTAAAGAAAATGGAAATATTTAATTAATTAATTCCTGAGCTTCTGCTGGAGAGGACTGAATTCAAAAGCAATTCTTATAGTAATTTTTTGTTTAAAAAAATATTTAGGCCATTAATACTGTCTCATGTTAATTGGAATGAAAATTTAGAGTCGTAAACATCCCAAATTCTGAGCACATGTATATACATTCACATAAAAGTGAAACGAAAATATATATATATATATATATACAGGGTTTCAAAATAAATTAAATTTAAATAATTCTCTTGCGCCATTGCTGCAAGGAATAAAATTTGAATTTAACAAGCATTTTCTACTCGTAAAAAGCAAATTTAATGTTAATTAAATTTAAATGAAATTTAATGCAAACAAATAAATGATTAATTATTGCTGCAAACTAATATACAATATCATTTAAATTCTGAGAGCAATAGTAAATCAAGTGCAAGTATCAAAATCCATGAATAAATAATAATTCCAAAAAAATTTATTTATCCTATATTCATTTATGCATTTTTATAAATAATTTTTTAGGATTAAATCTATCCTATTATTTATGCATTTTTTTATAATTTTTTAGGATTAATAAGCTATCCTATTGTTCACTTTTACTTATTATGCATTTTTATAATTTTTTAGGATTTATAATCTATCCTATTATTCACTTACGCATTATTTATAATTTCTTTAGGATTAATAATATCCCATTATTCACTTATGCATTTTTATGAATTTTTTAGGATTAATTATAATTTTTGGAATTATATATTTATTCATGCAGAACTAGGAAATAATTGTCAGGACAAATTTTGCTATTTCATGGACTTGGAATTATAATTTTTGCCGCCGATTTCTCGAACGCCTGATTTTATCTGCGAACAAGTACTGTAGTTGCAGTTATCTTATTTTTCTTATCTTTTTTTAACTAAATTCAGCTGATTGCTGTCTTTTTCAGCACGCAGATTTCTCACTATAATGTTAATTCAGAAATAAGTATTTTTTTAGCAAAACATTCTTTCCCTAAGCGAGCGTTCATCGCTATACTTCTGCTGCCATTAATTTTTTGTGACTACACCTGATTGCTCCTTTTTTACCACGTGACCCCAACGCATCCGCAGACATACGTATAGAAGTTGAACATTGTTGAACTCCATCCGTACGTCATCTGTCACCAAACATCGGCCGGATTGCAGATGTCAATCAAAGTGAATTCGCTGGTGATTGGAGAAACGCATAGACACCGCAACGCATACGCAGCTGTGGAAATGGGCCTTTGTACTGTGATAACGCATTTTGTTCGCTTTTATTGTTTTTAATGTCATCAGAATTTTTAAATTTCATGTCCTTATCATTGTGCGTATTAACATGTGATAATTCCGTACACACGGGTAAGGGGGGAAAATTATTAGCAGAATTATCTGCACTGTCCTGTTTTAGCTTTTTAGTCGGCGGTTTAGCTGACCTGACTACGTACAGTCTGGTCACCTCTGCGTTTACTATAAAATTCCTTGTTGGAACTGGTATCCTGATCCAGTGTAGTCTCATTATCTGAACTCGTTCGTTCTTTATCATTAATTGTTATGGGTCTACGTGACCGTTCATCATCACTGTGTACAGTGTTTTTGTCCTTTCCATCAGTTTTAGGTGTGCCATTAGTTGCAGAAGCATTCATGCATTTCATCATGTGTACACAGAAATTATATTCTTGCTCCTTTTCGTATTTGCAACGCTCATGTTCTAATTTCTCAATGAGCTGCTCAAAAAACTGGCTAACTCCATGATCAATCAATCCAATCAAGAAAGCAAAAGATCGCAGCGCCCAATAACGCAGAAAAACCCGCGTCCCGTAACCGGGCTCGCACGACGCCGTCCTGGCAGACAGATGAGCAGGTGGAAACTCATATAGCTCCTGACAATCATGTGACAGTGAAAGCTAGGGAGTAACTATGCGAGTAGAAAATCCCACGCAATCCACTAGAAAAAATAAAAATAACTGCAAAAATAATAAATAATACCTACCTGTAATGATAAGCAATCATGCGAAATGGCAATTACCTGGTGAGATAAGCAAATATCCCAATTCGTATCCCGAGAAACCATACCCTGCATTAGCACGTGGCCGTGCTCATCGAAGCGTGATAATCAGTGTTCGGATTTGGCGGAGCTCACTCACATTACGTCCTTCGCAAATGAAGGCAACCTCTCGAATGAATACCAATGTTTTTAAAGTTCAAAACGACAGTCTATTTGACTAATGCTTCTCCAACGACTATTGGATCACATGTTCACAAGGTTTAGAGTAGACTGTAATTATACTGTTAAATCCAAAAACAATTTTGACATTTTATTTTTATTCTTTCATAAAATTCTATTTCCGAAGAAGCAGAGCTGAACAAAAGACTAAAAGATTAGAAACTATATTTTCATAGTGAAATTAATTACCATGCCAAGAAGTACTTATACAGCCAACTTGGTTCTAATGAGTTGCATTTTTTGGTTGTTCTACAGAGTGGCGTTAAGAAAGATCATGTAATTTCATTTATTTACCCAGTGTTCAATTTTTGAAAAAAATTTTGAGGGTTAGCATTGTTATTAGTAAATACTAAGTGCTTTACTTTCTTTTGAAATTTCATGATATTTGCAACTTAAAAAAATATATTTGCAGCCCATTCTGTAACTATTTTTATTACATTTATTAGGCATCTGTTTATAATTTTAAACTGAAATTTATATAATTGAATTCCTTCCATACAATGATTGATGCTGAATGTAAAACAGTTTTGCATATCATAATAATACTATTTATCAGATCTAAAAAACTAATAGCTACAATATCTAATTTATGTGTAAGGTTATCTAATATTGCAAGTAGGAAAACATTTAAACCCACTTATGAATCTGTCAGAGAATCTTGTTAAGTATTTTTCTTCAAATTGCTTTTGTAAAATTTTTTAACTACTTTAATACTGGAGCATAGAAACCATATATTATTTTTTTAACATGCAAGCTGCATTATTTTTGAACTTCCATCTTTGATATATGAATCATCTGAGGATATGTACATGTCCTCAGCTTTTCAGAGTGATGAAATATATTAGAGAAAAGTACTTTCTCATTTGCTGTCACTGATGATTTCTTAAACTTGTGTCCATGCCTGCCATATAACATCTTATTGTGAACTGAAACTGAAGTCATTAAGGAGCTATATTAAGTCATTTGTAGAGAAAGTATGACAGTAAAAAATGCATTTAGCAATTATTATATCTCTTTTAGGCCGATGTATCTGACAGTGATTTTAAAAGTGTGCTGACTGGATCGCATGACAATAATATTATTTTACATCAGAAAAATTCAGAGACCATTTTCCAAGGACTGCAGACTAGCATTACAAATATTGGATATAACGTAAGTACAAGCAATTTGCAAAAATTGCTCTATTTTGCCTTAATGCTCAGAATTAATATTTATGTTATGAATCTGCCTATAAGATAGTTGTGTCATTATAATATGAATAATTTCTACTGTATGAAACACTAGGATGAATATTCGAATTTCATTTCGTGTACGTAAAGCAGATCTTGGGAGCATAAAAATAAAACGTTTTGCTGATTTTTTTTATTTATTTATTTATTTATTTCTTCTATTTATGAGAAGTCAGTTGCAGAATTAAATTTTGTGGAAACACTCCATGATTTTTCCAAATCTGGAGCTTTATGATTTCATAGTAAGTCTTAGAAAGAGGCTGTTGCTTAATTACTTAGTTCTAAAGTTATCAAAATTTAATATCTTTTTAAATTTATAATCTCTGATTGCTAAAAATACTCATTTGTTTGGTCGTAAACGTTCCTTAAATAGTTCTTGTAATTTAATGAATTCTCTTTCATTTATATATAAGATTATCTCATGTATTTATCATCAAAAGAAACTGGGCTCTGAAGAAAGTGCTGATTAATATGTTGTTTGAAAAAAGTTGTCTCAAACAGCAATTAATAATTAAAATAATGCAAGAAGTATGCCAAATATTTGTCTCACAGCTTGCACTGACTGACTGTTTAGTTTATTGCCATACTACCACACAGTGTGCAGTCTTTCCGGCTCAATCAAATTTGCCACATGGTACTTTCAGCCCGTAGTATCCCAGAGGAAGCGGAGGAGGTGGAAAAAAGGGGGAGACCAAGACATCGTGCGATCTTGGACAGCAAGTGGAATGTCCTAAGTTAATTGAAGAAAAAGCACAATGTCTTAAAGTAACAGTACAATACAAATACAGAAAAAGTAAAAATATAACAGAAAAATATATACAATATGTACACTGTATACAGGATATTGCACACTACTAATCATTAAGTAGGAAAGTTAGAGTCATTTGCAAGGTGGGCTGCTAGTGGTCGAATTTCACAGTCCTCGTTTAGAATTGTATAATTTACTGTGTTTAAATTATATAAATGTGCACAGTTAAGAGCTTTCATGAAGAAATTCCTGTTGAGTTGTACAAATGCTGCTCAATTGTACTAAGTTCAAAGTCTCTGTGTAGAGTGGCGTTGCTGACGTAGTAATGAGTGTTAGTAATCATTCTAAGTATTCTATTCTGAATTACTTGCAGTATGTACGGGTCTCTCTTTTTAGCCGTATTCCAGGCTGGCGAAGCATATGAAATGATAGGTTGTATGTTCATTATACAAGCCGCTTTCGACGCAGATCTAATTTTGAAAACTTTTTAAGAAGGGGCTTTAAACTGTTGATTACAGTGAAAGCCTTTTTCCTCACATTAGTGATATGGTCGTTCCAAGTTAGTTTTTGATTCAGTACTACCCCAAGGTACTTGGCTTTTGTGACTTGCGGCATCTGTTCATTGAAAAGATAAAGTATCCTTTTGAGTGTTTTCTTCTGATGACAAGTAGTTGCGCCTTTTGAGCATTGATCGATAACATCCTCCATTTAGTACACCAGGATTCAATATTAGGCATAATGTCCTGCAGCTTCTTTAAAGCGTGATTTGCGTTATCAGACTTAACAGCTAAAGCTGTGTCGTCTGCATAATATCCTAAAAACTTATTTCTATGTAATGTGGGCGCGCGGGAAGCCTCCAACATATATTAAATATAAAATTGGTCCTAAAATGCTGCCTGTGCAACATATAATAAATATAAAATTGGTCCTAAAATGCCCCAGCATTATTTTTTCTAGTGTCGCAGACGTCTTTACCGATGGAGACAGAAATGTTTATATTTGAGATTGAAATAATGAGCTCAATCATTCCCCTTTCGAAGCTGAAATTAATTAGCTTGTAAATCAGCCCCTCATGCCAGAGGCGGTCGAAAGCTTTCTCTACGTCCAGCATGAGGATGGCAACATTTTGTCTGTGGTGTAAGGCATCTGCACAAAATTCCACAAGCCTTACCAGCTGCTTGGAAGTACATAATTTTGCACGAAATCTGAACTGTTTGGGCGGAAGTACATCTAAGAAGGGCTTGAGCCGATTTAGGATAACACGTTCATAATCTTTTCCTAGCCCTGAGAGTAAGCTAATGGGCCTACAGCTTGCAGAAACATCATAACTCTTAACAGAACATTGTACTCCCATAGTTATTGACCAATCAGTGGTCAAGCGGTAAGGCAAACTCTGGTAATCTCACTCAGACCAGTCTCTTGACCATTGGACTGGCTGCTCAGAAACATGCTTTTATGTAGGCAGGTAACCATAAGGTGCTTTACCATAATCCAATTCCTACTTTCTTATTTCCAATATATTTTAAATAAATAAACACTGACATATAATAAAACACTGCTTAACTGGACATCTTTCAATTGATTTTTAGTTAGTTGAAATTGCAAAAAAATATTATTGAATTAGTGTGTATTGAAACCAACCATCTAAAATATTTTGAATGGTTTTTTTCATTGTTTCATCTTTTACTGGTAAGTGCCTATTTTGTAATGTAAAAAGGCAGGACCAGCACTTGGGTTTTCACTACCCGCCTGCGAATTCAAAAAAAGGGGGGAAGGCTTCAAAGGAGTTTATTGCTTATTTAGATAAAGAACTTTCATTGTTTTTGCTTTATTTTCTATATTTTAAGTTAAAATAGAAGTAATTTCTTTCACATCTAATTCAGATCAATATCTGTTATAAAGGACAACTTCCAATCTTCTGATGTGCTTACATGTAGGTAAGACTAATGCCTGCATGTGATAAGATATAAAGGTGCTGCAATTCTTTCTGTATAGTGCGCTTGCTCAAATTGCATGCTCTATGAGTTTTAGAAATGTTGGAAAATAAAAATGCTGTGAATGTTACTGATAAATGCAATTGGTAGTAACAAATGGAAATGTAGAATTAAGTCTAAGCACCATCTAAATGTAACCATAAAATAAGAATTAATTAATTTTCTTTGAAAATGGGGGGTCCATTGTTTGCAGTATGAATAAATATAGTCAGTAATGTTTTGTCGTACTCAGCAAGTTAAACAAGAAAAATGATTGACTATGCTGAACTAGAGATTGTCAGTAGATTTTGAGTTTTAAAACGTCACAAGACTGATCCCTGATTTTGCAGATCCTAAAGGCTATATCCTTGTCAATCATTTAAAAATAAATCTAGGAATCCAAATTTTGGTGCAGGGGCAGAAAACATCTATTTAAAATTACAGTTTAGTTTTTGGGGGGATGAGGAATAATTTTTTTGTGTTATACAGCATGGTCATATAAAATCTTCCCTGATATCTGAGCCCCTAGCAGCCTATCCGATCAATCAATTGAAATGAAATTTCACATATTGCTACTTAGATATGCACTCGGGATTGTGTGCTAGTTTAAAACAATAGAGCTCTGGTGGTTACTATTGCAGTGAAAAGATCTCGAAACTTTCGAGTGGCAACAATTAATTTTTTCCTGCGCAGATTGAAAAATCAGTGAAGAACCATAAATGGCGTTTGGACAATACATGTATAATGAATAGTATCTGCATAAAACATTTGGAAAGAATGGTATTGTAAATGACCCATGACTACATAGGAGAGAGAAAAAACCTTTATTGGAATTCAAAGTTTTCCCGTGTACAGCATTTTAAGAAAGAGTCACCTCTCGCAGCTTTGCAATTTCATGGCCAGTGTGATCCCCTGACCTCATTCCGATGGATTTCTGGGGCTATCTGAAATCTATGCTGTACACATCAAATCCACGTGATTTGTCAGTGTTGAAAGATGCCATAAAACATGAAGTTATACAGATTCCTCCTGGGTGTTATGTTCGCCATTGTTTTCAGCAGTCTTCTGCATGCAATGCATTATATTCTGCAAACTGACAAAAAATTCTGCAAAAATTATGTGGACATTTTGAAAACTTGTAATTCCAATAAAAGTTTTTTCCTCTGTCCTCTCATGTGTAGTCATTGGCCCTTTACAATGCTCTCCTTTGTAAATGTTTTACACCAGCAATTTTCGTCATATGTGTATTGTTCCAACGCCATTTATGGTTTATCAATGCAATTTATGCAGGAGAAATGTGGATATTGCCATTCAAAAATTTCGAAATTTTTTTCACTGTAACCATTACCAATGAGAGCTGTATTGTTTTAAATCATCACAATTTCAAGCACATACCTTCAGATTAGCAGTATCTGAAATTTCATTTCGATTGGTATTGATAGGTCAGCAGGAGTTCATATACTTTGGAAGTTTTTTATGACCACCCTGTATTTGTTTATATAATGTGCTTTGCAGTCTGAAGATCACGTGCCCGTATTTCTGATGCATAGAAAATTTTCATTGTAAGTGAGCAGAGCTTGATTTACCATTTCAAGTTTTTGTGCATTTATGCATTTAAAGTTGAAATACATTGTGATTCCAAGGTTTTTCTAACTTACAAGTTAGGAATAACTTAACTGTTCAGCTGTTTAAAATGACAACTTTTGTAATAAATAATGGTTTTTGAACAACATATTATAGCGAAACATACACACATATATTTATGTACTAGATATTCCAAAAATGTATTGAGAAAGTATTCATCAAAATGTTTGTATCTGATTAAATGAAAGCATGTTTACATTCCATTTTAAATGAAAAATGGTTCTTATCTTGTAGACTGTCATAAAAACAGTCATCTGAGTGTGAAAAATACATTGGTAAAATTAACTATTATTTAGCAACTGTTATATAAATCTCATTTTACTTGTTTTTGCTAGCTTTGATTTTTGTAACAAAATGCAACAGGTACAAATATGCCTAAGCAGGCTTTCATGAATTGCATGTTTAATAACAGTTTACTTCTCCTAAATATTTCTTTAGTTATCAGGTAAACAAATCTAAAGTTAAAAAGCAAAGTTTAATCTTCACAAATATTTCTGTCAAAATTAGAGAGGGTTAAGGAGCAGCAGGAGTGCTTGTTAGTTGTGTATCTGCTAATTT